GAGTGACCAGATGGAGGTGTGGGCTTAGCAAAGGTAACATTGCTCAGCTCAAGAAGTTAAGGTTACGCTACATGAAGGAAATTGCAACATCAGAATTCAATTTACTTAAGTCTAGGAATGTCGCTCGGGCGTATGAGTTTGTGTCATCGATCCCGTAGATCCGGGGGTGGGTTTCTTGTCCTTGGTTTAATGGATATTAATTCGCAGTTTTTGCCGTGGTATGCCTACCATTTGGGTTTTTTATTCAGCTACCATTGTTACTGTTTATGGGTGATTAAGCCGGTATTTAGTTTGTTGAGTTCTCATTCTTTTTGCTAAGTACGGGCTGCACCCGTGTACCCTCATGGGGTTCCTTTGACATTTGTTTCTTCGCAGTTGGTTGTGTGTTTATTACTGACAAATTTATGTTATTAATTGCGTCTCGTTTAGTTCAATTTTGGTATCTCTTTTTGTTTGGGTTGCGTTTGTGTTTGTTAGGATGCATAGTGTACTAATTTGGGGTGCACAACCTTACACTTCTAAATTGATTGCGTGTGAAGGTAATAGAAGTTTCTACTGTTTGGTGGTGGATTCGTGTGCACAATGGCGTGATTTTGTGGTGGTAAACTCTGTGAACATTTGTGGGTAATACTTTAATGAATTACGCATGACTCTGTATTCAACTACCAGCTTGCGCGCTTAGTTAATAGAAACGTGTGTGCACAGGTGCGTTGATCTGTGGCCATGTAGAAACCACCGTATAAATTTCACAGAAGACAGTTGATCAATATTATCTTACCCGCTTAGTTTTTGGACATTGGCTTTACTTATGTACGTGCACAACTATCTAATTATCAGAACATGGGTCAAAACGGGAAAAAATTAAAATCATCTAAGTAGTTTACTATTAGCTTATAGGATTTACTAATTAAAAACGTGTGTGCGCAATGGCGGTTCTTAGTGTGCATGTCTGTACTAAATAAATTAGTTTTCCTGGGTAAAATTTATAACAGTCTAGTTGAATTTAATTGTATACGTTATTGTCAAATATGTGGGTGCACGTTGGCGTTAAATACTGTGTGTGCGCAACTGAATACATGTCAAAGATGTGTACTAATTAAATAAATTTCATAGTAGTGAGTAGTTGACTATTAGCCTATAGGCTTAGTCATAAAAACTGTGTGTGCACAATGAAGGTAGACAATGTGCATAGCTGAACAAGCTAACTACCAACAATGTATAAAATTCTAAAATTTGGCAAGTATTTAATTCAACTTAAAATTGAGATAGTATTCGTAGTGTTTTAAACCAAGGGGGGCTACTCGTCTGATATGCCTTTTCTTTTCGGATAATTCCGGCTGTCGTGGCCCTGCTGGTCACAAGTAGCGCATGTCTTCATCTTTTTCTTCGTTTTTTCCATTGGTTTCTGTTTGTTGCTCTTTAATCGTTTCCCACTACCTTTGTTCCTTGTTACATTGGGTGGTTTGATAAATTTCACAAAAGACAGTAGATCAATATTATCTTACCCGCTTAGTTCTTGGACATTGGCTTTACTTATGTGCGTGCACAACTATCTAATTATCAAGCCATGGGTAAAAAGGGGATAAAATTAAACTCAACTAAGTAGTTTACTATTAGCTTATAGGATTTACTAATAAAAAACATGTGTGCGCAACGGCGGTTCTAAGTGTGCATGTCTGTACTTAATAAATTGGTTTTCATGGGAAAAATTTAAAATTGTCTAGTTTAATTTAACTGTATACGGTTATTGTTAAATATGTGGGTGCACATTGGCGTTAAATATTGTGCGTTCGCACATTAATACATGTCAAAGATGGGTACGAATTAAATAAATTTCACCATAGTGAATATTTGACTGTTTACTTTTAGGCTTAGTAATAAAACCTGTGGGTGCACAATGATGGTAGACCGTGTGCATAACTGTACAAATTAACTAGTTGACTATTAGCGTATAGGCGTAGTGATAAAACTGTGTGTGCACATTGATGGTACAAAGTGTGCATAGCTGAGCGAATTAAGTAGTTGACTATTACCCTGTAGGCTTAGTAATAAAACTGTGTGCACAATGATGGTAGACAGTGTGCATAGCTGAACAAACTAACTACCGATGGATAAAATTCTAAAGTTTGACAAGTATTTAATTGAACTTTAAATTGAGATCGTATTCGTAGTGTTGTAAACCACCGGGGGGCTACTTGTCTGATGCCCGGTAGAAGGCTAGTCCGTCTTCTAGTGTTGCAAATCGTTGCCCTTCATACGGGGTGCATTCACTTTTGCAAGTGGGTAACCACTGTTTCGTTTCATCTGGTAATATGATCATTTCGCAATCTGTTGCTCCTTCTTTGGTATGCTCTTCGCCTATAAATCAAAAGTGTTTTTCGTAAATATTAGTAGCATTGTTTTGCACTGGGAGCGCTATTAGAATTGCATATAATATAAACGAGAGAATTTGTGAATGCGCACATGTTCAACCTACGGTACTGTGTGTGCAAACGTGACTAATAGTGTGTGCACTCTATAAACACAAAGCTACAACCCCTCCCCCCTGTAGTTAGTCCATGACTTCTAGTTTTGCAAATTTGTATCCACGCAATTTCATCAAATCTACTAAAATGATATATACAATAATAGGGGTCAAATGACGGCTCATTGCTCACATGTCTGCACAGATTTGGTCTCCAACATTATAGGCGATTCAATCCACGTTAAATTATTCACTACTTGTGTCTCCCAAAGATTTATACCAATGCATCCAACAGTTTTTTCCTCTACTAAAACGGTATATACAATAATAGGGGTCAACTATATGGTGTAATTACCTGAATTGGCGTCGTCCATGGAGTCTAAGTTGGCATCGTAATTTCTTAGGTCGGCGGCGTCCATGGTGTCTGCTATCCCGTCCATGGAGTATGTTTCTCACGTCAATGGGTGCAATTCGGAGCAGTTCCCTATGGCGTGAAAGGGTTGTCGTTGCTGATTGATTTTTCAAATCCTATCAGTATTTTAATTCATTAATTATAGGATAGTATACTAATTAAAATTCATTCCATATTTCACGTTGTGTGTGCATTGTCACTATTACCCTTGTTTATAATAATTACAAATCCGCGTCTCCCAACAAAGGGTACATCTTATCCATTCATCTTATCACATCCTATGGCTAGATTTTGTCCACACGTTTGTATTTTAAGGGGATTTGCATTAGAATGCAACCCTATATATATATATATATATATATATATATATATATATATATATATATATATATATATATATATATATATATATATATATATATATATTGGCAGGATCAAATGAGAGTATGGTCTTTATGTAAAAAGTGCGAATTGATCTTAGCCATCCATCAGAGTTCGATCAATTATGGAGGATTTTAGTAATAAAAACGTGGGGTCAATTTTATAATTTTTACAACTTTTAAGATCAGGGTTAATTTTATAATTATTGCAAATTTAAAAGTGCAGTAATGGTAAGATTCTAATATTTGATTGAGTTAATTACCAAAATGGTCCCTTGACTATAGCGAAATTACCAATTTGATCCTTGACTATTTTTTTAACCAATTAAGTCCCTCAACTTTAAAAATCTTAACCAATTTGGTCCTCTGTTTGTTTGACTGTTAGTCAACCGTTAACTTGGGACCAAATTGGTAATTTCGCTATAGTCAAGTGACCATTTTGGTAATTAACTTTAGGGGTGGGCAATTCGGTTTAGTTTTCTCGAACCGAACTGTACCAAATCGGACCGAACTAGTTTGGTTTGGTAATATACCGAACAACCGAACAGTATTGATTCTTGTATACCGAACGGTTCAATAAAAAATCGATCCGAACCGATCCAAATTGTTCGGTAAAATTAAGATTGAACTGAACGAATACCGTTTTATTATTAAAAACAAATATAATAATAATAATAATAATAATAATAATAATAATAATAATAATAATAAATAAAAAGTAAATCCAAGTCCCTTGATGCTTGCTCTACCGTTCAGCTCATATTCTCACGGGTATCTCTCGTAAATGTTTTATTTGATTTCTTTATGGTTTGTTATCAAAAGTTCTATATTATGTGTTATGGTGTTTACGTAGTCCATATCCAAAGTCTAATATATAACAAAATAGCAATCCAAAGTTCAAATGGTATTCGGTTTGGTTCGGTTCGCGTTTTTATCGAACCGTTCGGTATACAATAATCTATTACCGTTCGGTTGTTCGGTATATTACCGAATCTAACTAGTTTGATACGGTTCGGTTCGAGAAAACTGAACCGAATTGTCCACCCTTAAAGTTAATTACCAAAATGGTCCCTTGACTATAGCGAATTACCAATTTGGTCCCAAGTTAACGGTTGACTAACGGTCAAACAAACGGAGGACCAAATTGGTTAAGATTTTTAAAATTGAAGGACTTAATTGGTCAAAAAAATAGTTAAGGACCAAATTGATAATTTCGCTATAGTCAAGGGACCATTTCGATAATTAACTCTATTTGATTTCTAAAGAAGAATAATGTAAATATCTCTATATGTACACTTTCTATAGGAGAGATAATCTCACTTGAAACTTCTCATTCATATATATACAAACACATACACACACTAGTGACACTACAATGCTTTATACCTTTTTTGTTTGGTTCATGAAAAAGATATTCAAATTTTTTATTTTATTTTTAGTGACATCATTCTTCTAAATTCCTAAAATCATGTGAAGCTTCCAAATATACTATATTACTTAAAAATATTCTTTGAACCAAACAGCTTCCTATATTTTATTTTGAAAGGAAAACCTTCCTATATTAGATTATCAGGTTACCTAAATATATTCCCCACAGAAATAACCAAGTAAATAAAAAAGATAAGAATTGTAACAATTATATTGAATGAATTGATTACAATCCTAATATAAAACATAATGATATTTCCATTCAAATTTGTTAAGGTTGACCATGGTTTGATTGAGTCCACGCTTAGTAATATCTCAACCCCATAATTACACTTGCCCACATTATTATTATTAAAGACTATAAATACAACCCGGGCGATCCATGAAAACCCAGAAACCTAACGCACATACATTCGCTGAAGGCGATGAATGATAAAATGAAGATTTTTATCTTTTCAATTTTTCTGGTTTTTCAAGCTCTTTGTTCTGTTTCTTCTGCGGCCACCGGCGGCTCAATCTACGACAAGTTTGTCGGCTGTCTCACCGGCGCCGGTAGCGCAATCCCAAGAGACCAAGTGTCTAAAATTGTGTATGCCCAAAACAATACCCAATTCTCGTCCGTTTTAAACGCCTATGTGCGAAATCTCCGGTACAACACCTCGGCAACGCCCAAACCGGTGATCATTGTAACTCCCTTGGAAGAGTCGCACGTTCCGGCGGTGGTTCTGTGCGCCAAGAACGCCGACATTCAGATCAAAATCCGCAGCGGCGGCCATGACTACGAGGGGCTTTCTTACGTCTCGGAGGAGTCTAACTTTATCATTCTTGATATGTTCAATCTCCGGTCGATCGACGTGGATATGGCGACCGAGACGGCGTGGGTACAAGCCGGCGCTACCCTCGGCGAGCTTTACTACCGGATCGCGGAGAAGAGCCCGGTTCACGGGTTTCCCGGCGGGGTCTGCCCCACCGTCGGCGTCGGCGGGCACTTTAGCGGGGCCGGGTACGGGAACATGCTCCGGCAGTACGGGCTGACCGTGGACCACGTGGTGGACGCGCGTATTGTCGACGCGACGGGAAGAATTCTGGACGCGAAGGCCATGGGAGAGGATCTGTTCTGGGCAATCCGCGGCGGCGGCGGCGGGAGCTTTGGGGTGATTTTAGCCTACAAAATTAAACTGGTTCAAGTACCCAAAAAGGTAACATATTTCCGGGTGGAAAGACTGTTGAGCCAGAACGCCACCGACGTGGTTTTAGAGTACCAGAAGGCGGTAACCTCCATCGACAGCAACCTCTTCATCCGCCTTCTTCTCCAGCCCATCACGCCGCCCAGCATCGTCGACCCGGTCACCGGAAAAAAGGTGAAACAAAACAAGACCATCAGAGTCACCTCCATGGGCCTATTCCTCGGCGATAAATCCCGGCTTTTATCCATCACCGACAAGGAATTGCCGGTTTTGGGACTAAAATCCTCCGACTTAATCCAAATGACCTGGATCCAATCAGTTCTCCAATGGGCCAATTTCGACTACAAAACCACAAAACCAGAAATCTTATTAAGCAGAGCCCCAGACGAACTGAAATTCGGCAAGAGAAAGTCCGATTACGTCCAAACACCTATCCCCAAAGACGGACTAGAATCTCTGTGGAAGAAGATGGTGGAGCTGGGAAAAGTCGGGCTGGTTTTCAACTCCTACGGCGGAAAACTGGCGGAAACCCCAGACGACGCAACCCCATTCCCCCACCGCGCCGGAATTCTGTTCAAGATCCAATACTCGGTATCCTGGTCGGAATCCGGCGAAGAAGCCGAGACCCAGTTCCTCACCCAAGCAAAGGATCTCCACACATTCATGACCCCATTCGTTTCCAGCAACCCAAGGCAGGCCTACTTGAATTACAGAGATTTGGACATCGGCACCACCGACAACGGCCCCAAACGTTACGAACAAGCCAAGGTTTTCGGCGCCATGTACTTCAAGAACAACTTCGACAGATTGGTTAAGGTGAAGACGGCGGTTGACCCCGACAACTACTTCAGGAATGAGCAAAGCATTCCTCCGCTGTCTCCGATAGGGAGCCGCAAACATGTTGCCAAGCTCTAGATTATATATATTTTTATATTTTATTATTATTGCAATTTTATATTTTTAGCGAAGAAAGTATACTGAGGGTGAGGCATCTGTCTTCTACCAGATTTTAGTAATGATAAAGTGATTAAGATTCTAAAAGGCACACTTCATATTCTCCACAATGCAATATTCTTAAATTGTTTGTTTATTCATTATAAAATAAAAATACGGTAAAAAAGTCAAATAAGCCACTAAAATTTATCTAAAGTCAATTAGGTCATTTCAGTTTAAGTATCATATTCGATGAAACTGGTGATAACCCGACGACCAGCAACGAAGCAAGAATCCCAGCTAGGATCCTAAAGATATTGGAGGATCTATTACCATATTTCCACCCTCACTCTCCATTTTCAGTTAAGGAAAGGAGTTCTCGTGCTTATGAAGGAATCTCAAAATTCAATTAAAGAAAATTTCCTAAGGTGAAATTTGTAAACCTTGTTGTTTCTTCCTTCGATCAATTCTTTATGTATAAATACCACATAGGGGTCACATTGTATGATTGTAAGGAGAGTAGCACACTTTGAGGGAAAAATATCTACTCTCTAGCAGTGTTGAAAAAGACGCTAGGCGCTCGATTTTTTTTACCTTATTTTTAAGTTTTTTTAATTTTTTAAAAAATGGGGTTCGGCCGCCTAGGACGCCTAGGCGACCTGTTGCGGAGGAGGCTGATTTCAACGTTCCTCGACGCGGTCGGGTGACGCCTAGCGCCTAGGCGCGATTTTTGCAACACTACTCTCTCAAGCAAGAAAAGGGAAAAAGAGAGATCCAACTTGCTCGTGTATACACCTAAAAAAAAAAAAATAGATCTTGACTAGACAGCACCCAAATTAAAAATGTCTATAATTTTCACCTTGTGATTTATTTTCACGTTAAAAATATCCCGTTTCCTTCATATTTTTTCTTTCAATTATTTATATCTTATTCTCAAATTAATTATATTGGCCGGCTGACAGACTACCTCTAGGTAATCACAAAACTTGCAAGAATGTGATTTCAATAATAAACTCGGTGAGCTTGAGTTTTTGTACCATTCCATATTGACAACTAAAAATATTAAATTAATGATATGTCTATAATATAAAAATAAAGTTTGTTATTAGTCTTGTAATTCAGGACCAAAATCCTAATATTTTAAAATACTCGGATATAGATGCCTAATGCAGTAATATAATGCTGTAGGTTTATAGATGTCGTATTGTCGTCTTCTGGTCTCTTAATGCACTATATATAGTTATTAATCAATTTATCAGTTGGAATTAGTAATCTTTTGTTGTACGTTATGGCCGGTTGGCCCTACTCCCTATCCTTTTCGTTTCGTTGAGAATTTTGCTCCACATACAAAAATATTAATAAAGCTAATGTGTAGATGTATGCATGTGGTGCTGTAATTTTAAATATTTTATTTATTATTATTTAGTATTTTTATAAATTAGGTAAATGTGCTCGTTCTATTACAACTCAATAATAAGAATGAATTGATATCGTAATTCATTTGTATAGAAAATATATTTTTTGTTTAGATATATAGCAATTTTGCCATTAAAAAAATATAATATTACCGATTGTATTTACACATTATTGAAACCTCTTTGTAGATAACATTGGTAGTACCAACACAATCTTGTCCATCTTCATCTAGAGCTAACACCTTCGGTCCATCAGGATGGGTGACTCGAGTGAAAATATATAATGGTAGAATATAGTGATCCTTTTATATTTTCAGTCAATTAGTAATATCAGATTAATTTTCAGCAAAATATTCTTTTTTATTTTCAATCAATTAGTCAATTAGAATATTAGATGCAGTGATATTTTTACCTAATTTCCGTTCCTTTTTTAATTGATGATGTAGAATATTTTTATTGAAATATTTTCGTTCTATTTTTAATTTACCTTTACTATTCTTTAAAATATGCATTTACTATTGATGATGTAGAATATTATTATTGAAATATTTCTGTCCAATTTTTAATTTCCGTTCCATTTTTAAATTAAAATGCAATGATCTGGCAATTTTTTTTCCATTTTAGTCAATTATTGATCATTTTTTATTTGCAGACAATTATTAATATTCATTTCCTTTTATATTTATAGTCAATTAGTAATATCAAATTCATTTTCAGTCAATTATTCTTTTTTTATTAAAAAATAGGATTTTGTTTTTAATTATAGTCTAGATTCCATGTAATATTAATTAATTTTTTGTTTTATATATATATATATATATATATATATATATATATATATATATATATATATATATATATATATATATATATATATATATTACATAATACCATATAAGGAATACACGTTAATTATCTCTAATTCAAAAAATGTACACGTTAATAATATTTCCATAATTTATTCAATTGACTCAGTTATGAATTGGTTCAACCAATTCCGATTCCGTGTATGTTGGTCACAAACGAGTGGTAAAAGTCTAGGTGGTGGGGGGGGGGGGGGGGGGGGGTTGAATAGACTTTTAAACCGTTTTTCCAAATACAACAATTGCAATGCAACAGAGAAACTAAAACTCTTAACTGGTTTTAGAGTCTGGTGCACAGCGGAATAATAAAATAAGTGTTGTGTGATTGTGTCAAGTATATCCACGTGAGAAGCAAGCAAGGAGCAATAAGTAAATAAAGCAGTAAAGAACACAAGGCAATTATAGTGGTTCGGAGGTGGCGTAATCCTCCTAGTCCACTTGCTCCTATCTCCAAGAACAATTCACTATATCCACCACTTCTTGGTTCCAAGATACAATGAATTCCGTGATCTAGTTCTTTGAAAACCAAGCCTGCACTAATCACGCCCAACCCAGTGCCTACAACACTACTATAGGATTTCACGACTCCGCGCTACTTTCCTCCCTTTTCTACGCTCCGGTAGAACTACAGTTCGGATTTCACAACTCCGTGCTACTTTCCAGGATTCCACAACTCCGTGTTACTTTCCCCACGTCTTCTACACTCCTGTAGAACTGCAACTAGGATTTCACAACTCCGTGTTACTTTCCCTTCTCCAAGACTTCACAGCTTCGTGTTAGAATCCCCTTCATACACTCCGTAGGGACTTCACTTGTTTGTAGAAAAATAAGCTTCCTCTTGCTTCTAACTTTGAGACTTCGTAGATGATCTTCAACGTGTAGCAAGTCTCTTTGTGATGAAGATTTTAACGCTCTTGAATATTTTCTCTAAAAGCTCTGTATCTCTGAGTGTTTATCTCACTTGAATATTTCGAATATAGCACTTTGTTTAGGAAATCTCTCTGTAATACTTTTGCTATGTTGTTATTGCTTGCACTTCTTAGCTCTGCTCTTTCGTGCGTTGCTTTCCTCTACTTCAATCTTCATCCTTTTATAACTGGTTTTGAGAATTTTCCCGTTGGAAAAAGGCAATCTCAATTTTGAAATCTTGTATCTTTTTGTCTGAGATCTTACCTTATCTTCTGGCATTGTGTCAGAAAATATTCTAGCCGTTGTTGAGCTCCAAGTTCATGTGAATGGGTTTCCAAAATTCATCTGGTGTTGATTCACGCCTTCTAGGATTTCTTGAGCTCCAATTTCACGAAAAATGGCTTCTCCAATTTTCTTTGATGTAGTTCACGGCTTTCTGGGATTATATTCTTCAAAAATATTCTTCAATTTAATCCCTTTACTAGTTAGGACTAGTAATTTTCCTTCTCAGATTTCTGCTTGTAAATCTTCTTCATTTTCACGCATTTGCTGTCTTCAGACTCCTTCTGATTTAATCTTACTTCAAAATGCATCCCTTTCTAATTTTGGATATTGAAACTTCTGCCCATTCCATATTTGGATAGTGAAACTTCATCCCATACTACTTTTGGATGTGAAATCTGATCCCATCTTTACTTGGTACGTGAAATCTCATCACATACCATATTTTGATTTGAAACCTTCGCCCATTTCAAATATCATCCCATTGGATTGAGATCTCTGCCCAATTTGAAATTGCTTCTCAATTGCTTCCCAATTTCAATTTCTTCTCAAACTATTGAAATTGCTTCCAAATTTCAATATTTGAATTTGCTTCTCAATTGCTTCCCAATTTCAAATTTTGAAATTGCACCCCATACTTCAGCTCTTTGACTCATTTCTTCTTTTGACTTGTAATTGACGCCCATACTTCATCCCATTTTGAAATTGCATCCCATGTTTGAAATCAGTGCCCAACTCAAATTGAGTCCCATATTTGAAATCAGCGGCCAACTCAAATTGCATCCCATACTTCTTCTCATAGCAATTGGTGCCCAAGTGAAATTGCATCTCAATTTCCTTTGTGAAATCGACATCTTCTAATCCATTCATGCAAACTTCAAATTTCGTTCTGCTTCGAATTTTCTTCTGGGAAGTCTTCTTGAGTATGGTATCTGGGTGAAGTTCATAATATGCATATCATATGCATACATCTTCTATTGTTTGCCATTTTCACCAGACAAATTCTTGATTTTAGGCTTGATATTATCTTCTTCCATTTTTCATACATTTTCCTCTTATGTTTTTCTCTTTTAATTCTATTTAATCATTTCTCAGTCTTGTCTAAGAAACAACTAAACAAACAAAATTGGGGATTCTACAAAATACAATTTGGCATATCAAAATCTATTACAATTTATTTCTAACAGTGTAATATTACCATAATAATATTTTCATAATTAATTAGTCTACATTCTGTCATATTTAAAATATTGTTTATTCAATTGATTCGTTTATGATTTGGTTATACCAATTCCGTGTAATATTACCATAATAATATATTCATAATTAATTAGTCTCTTTCCTGCCATATTTAAAATATTTTTTATTCAATTGACTCATTTATGAATTGGTTCAAACAATTTCGTGTAATATTATCATAATAATATTTCATAATTAATTAGTCTATATTCTGCCATATTTAAAATATTTTTTATTCAATTAATATAGACATGTACAATTAGGCTCCTCTAGTTCTTCGTAGTATGTCACGGAGCATAATTAACAAATTATTACCTAATAAAATTTATTATTAATTTGACTATTAATATTAGGCAATTATATAAATAATCTATACTATTAATTAGACCGTGCAACGATGATGTGA